AGGAGAGACAGGCTACTTCTGAAGAGTTGTTGTTAAGTGCCGTCGAGTCGGTTCCAACTCATACCGACCCTGTATAGGGTTTCCAAGGAGCAGCTGGTGAGCTTGAACCACCAACCTTGCAGTTCAAACAACTTTGTAGTCTGACGCATTAGCCCACAGCGCCACTCCAGAGTTAGCCACTGAAAAACTTCTGAAGAGTAAGCAGTGGCAAATGGTCATACATAGTACTGTAAGATGAGACCCTCAGTGGCACTCAATATCAGAAATCCTACCAGAACTCCTCACTACAGAACTGCCAGCGAAAGCTGCTGGATGGTGATGGATGTGGCTGGTCACTGGGCACTGTGAGAGGCAGTGCTGGACCCCACTTGTTGCACTGCAGAAACTTTATGCTAGAAAAGTCCTGTGCGCTACCAGGACTGTGCACTGGGACAGTGCATGTGCTGCAGGAGGCTAGCCTAGGCTCTGGAGAAGCCTGCTAGGCTGGCACACCGGAACCAGGAGGGAGGGAAAACACCATTCTCCTGCAGGGCCTTCAAGCATCCTGCTGACAGGGTTAACCTGCCAGCAAAGAAAAACTATTCAATATCTCAGATCCATTTCACAGAGTAGGCAATGAAGGGGGGATTGGGGACTTACGGTGTGTATGTTTGTGTGTGTTTGGTCCCTGACTCCTAGCCACCCTGTGCAGTTTCTCTGAGGAGCAAGCGGCTGGTAAGTTTGGACCTTGCAGGTCAAACCAACCTTGCAGTCCAATGCTTTATCCCACAGCGCCACACAAAGACTCCTTGAAACTTACAGGCAATACAAAATTTACACATGGTTTTCTTAGAATTTTAATTTTTTCTCATTTAAATAATTTGTCTCAGATTGACTTTAATGCATGATGTAAGATAGGAATATGAGAATTTTAAGTGGACAGCTAATTGTTCTAACAGCTTTTATTGAAGAATCCATCTTTTTTCATCATTTTACAGTGGTGCTACGGTAGTCAGGTGGTAAGTTTCTATACATGTGTAGGTGATTGGTTTTTTTATAATGTCTTGATATTTGATAGAGTGAGTCCTTCCAGTTTATTTTTCAGGAATGTTTTGATCCTTTGTTGTTGTTGTTGTTGTTAAGTGATCTAGTCAATCCTGACTCATAACAACCCTGCATAGGATTTCCAAGGAGTAACTTGGTGGGTTTGAACTGTTAACTTTATGGTTCGCTGTCCAGTTGTGATGTGTTTAACAGATTCCTCATCATTCTTCAATGTTTTGTAGTATTCCATTGTGTGTACGAACCAAAGTTTATTTAACCATTCTTCTGTTGAAGGGCATTTTAGGCTGTGTCCATCTTTCTGATATGTCTCTTGTAGACAGCATATTGAAGAATCTTATTTTCTTCTCCTTTCTGCTTTTTATGTCTCTTGATGGTACATTTAATCCATTCACATTCAGTATAATTATCAATAGGTATGAACTGATTGTTGTCATTTTTCTGTGTAGTTTTTTTTTGTGTGTGTGTGTGTGTATGGATTCTTTGTTCCACATAATTTTCTATGTTGAGTTCATTTTGTTTGTGGGTTTCCTTTTCATTTCTGTTGTGTTAATGTTTACTAAATCTTTCTGGGTTTCTTTTTTTCATTTTTATATTTAGGGTAATTTATTAATTTCTTTTCTGCTTAAAGCATTCTGTTTTATCTTGAAATCTACTTAACTTCCTTGCCATTTAGAAGTTTGGTTTTGGTTTTGGTTTGCTTTTTAGTTGACTCCATTATACATTGATATTTCTGATTCCTTATTTTCAATCTTGTAGGTTTGTTTTATTTTAGATACTTCTATATCTAGATTGCATTCTGGGTGGTGTTGTCATGTATGGTAATCTTAGGCACTCAGTCCAAAGAACACCTGTCAGCATTTTTTGTAAAATTGGTTTGGTCATTACAATGCCTTTAATTTCTGTTTATCAGGAAATGTCCTAATTTCACTGCCATATTTGAGGGACAACTTTGCTGGATATATGATTCTTAACTGGCAATCTTTTTCTTTCAGAATTTTGTATCTGTCTCCTAAAGGTTTTATTGTGTTCTCTTTGCTTTCTTCAATCTTTCTGTAGGTCCGTTGAAGGTACCGAATTATCATTCTTTTGAATTCTTTTTCAGTTAGTTTCATTACCTTTTGTTCCTCAGAAATGTTTTCTGGTCATTTGTTTGAGCCTATTTCTCTTGTTTCTTCATGTGAGCCAAAATTGTCTGTTGTCTCCAGGGCATTGTGGGGTTGTTGTATTTGTGAAAACAAACAGTACAGTTGTTGGGCCCAGAGGAGCGAAATCTCTGGGGAACTCCTGCAATTCAAGGTGCTCATGAGGTGTTTGTAGAAGGGATGGGACAGCAGAGTTCCTGGCTCTTGATGGAGTTCCTATTGACCTCGCTGTTACCTATGTTCAGGGCACTCAACCTGGAAGTAATTTGTGGAGGCCCTTGATGGGGCTGGTATCACTATCTGTTAGGACCACAGGAACCTGGAGGCAGGGTACCTGGTTAAATGCTGGTCTACAGGGTCGCTATGGGTCGGAACTGACTCGACGGCACTTAACAACAACAACAACAACAGGCTCTATGGGTTTTTCAGTTCTAAAGCTGAGCTCACCTGAATCCAAGTGCCAAAACAGCACACCAAAATGGTACAGCCGGCCCCCACCTCACACTAATGTGGCTGTCAACCACGTGGCTCTGAATGCCCAGAGAACAGGGTCTGTGCTGGCTGTGGATGACGGTGGGAACTGGCCACACTTCCATCTTTTCTGTTACCTACGCAGATCTGCTTTGCCAGGCCTTCCTCAGCTGCCAAAGCTTCTCACTAGATGGTTGAGCCACGTCTGCCCAGCTACTCACCAGTCAGTCCCCCTCTCTCACCATCCCTGCTCAGCCTCTCCTCCCAGCAAGCTCTTGATCCACCTCTCTAACCTTTCTTCTGAACTTCAGATCACCAGAATTTTTATCTGTGTCTGTTTTATTTTTGTCTTTCATATTTTTGTTGTAGAGGGTCTGCCTAGTGCGGTGTTATGCGTCTGCCTAGCCCACCATCCTGCCAGAATTTTGCTCAGTAAATATATATTTGAATTTTTTTTATGTGCCAGGATTTAGTTAATGGAATTAACATATTATCCTTACCTTCATATAGCAGGCAGATATTAAACATTCAAACAAATGTACCATTTTCAGTTATAGAGAATGAATATGTAGGCAACCATTAGCAAAACAAAACACAAAGAAAGGAAGAAAAAAGAATGCTCAGAAAAATAATAACATGGAAGGGATCACAAAATTGAGATGAAGCTTTCAGGAAAGATCTTTAATAGTATATGCCATTTAGCAGAGATTTGAAAGGCAGCCAGAAACTTGCAGGCCTAAAAGTGGGGGAAGTTGGGAACCTGGTGGGAGATGAAATCATAGCAGGAAAAATTTAGTACATTTGAAGAACTAAGAAGGTCAACAGAGCTATAGCTTATTGTTGGAGAAGGTAGCAAGTTAAAAAGGCAGGCAGGCACTAGATCACCGAGGAAATTTTAAGGCCAAATTAAGGAGTGTAGGTGTTATCCTAAGAGCGATGGAAAATAATTGAACTATTTAGAACATAGCAATACCAGGCTAAGAGTATAAAAGTGAATATATAGGCAGCTAGATGAAATGCTGTTTTACTGATTTAGGCTTGGATTAGCCATTGACAATGGAGGTGGAAATTTCAAGAGATAATCAAAGCCTAGTCTAAAGAAGCTTGCTGTGTTAAGTGTTATAGTAAGAGACTGATGCTGTAATATTTTCAGCTTTGGACTTCAGATACTTGCTTAGAGTCTTACTTGAGCTCCTCAAATTAGTTTCCTTTCCTAGTATATACCTTGTAGCAAATAACTCTTCCAAAATAATAACTACCAAACACTGCATGCTTGCTCTTTGTAAGTACATAAATAGATTATGTGTGATTTCAAAATCATTCAGAAATCATCAGAGCTAGTATTCAAAGTATTCATCAACTGACACTTTCTTAGAATTTGCTAGTATCACATTATATCCTGTCTTCTGCTCTTTCTTTCTCTGGCTTTAAAACTTGTTTTTCAGTTACTTTCTGCTGCAACCTTTGCTGAGTCCCCTCTTCTCCCATGAAAAACAGAATTCCCAGGAAAACATTGCTGTTTTTCAAATGGCATGAACAAACCACATCTAGACACAGAATAATCTTACCTCTCCATTGCTCATTCTAAACTTACTCAATAGTTTAGTATTTCATTAGTGGGTTACTACACCAGGATGCCTTTCTCTTTTATCTCCTTCAGATGATCTATAAACCATATTTGTTACTTAATAAATAACAGGTAAATAAATGCTTCTCCATTTATTCCAGATTTCCCCTTCAAGGGTGTAGGTTAACTGCTTCAAATGGTTCTAGGAAATAAATTATGCTCATTTATAAATAGATATGATACTAGCTTAATCCTTTTAACAAAATTTGGATGGGCTTGAACATCTGTATATTTATTGAGCTCAGTTCTAGTGGGACTGTACATCTAAACCACTATCTAGGAACAATTCACTTAATCTATTTTCATAAATGCCTCCCCCACCTTCCAGGAGGACTTCTCAGTCTCTCCTTTCCTAGCCCATTTTTCAAAGTACCCAACCATATTTCAGGACTGTATAAGCCATTCACTTTAGATGGAAGAAATTAATTCCAGTTGTCTTCCTTATCTGTTATAAAAGTGTCATTTTTCTCAGAACACACAAAAAGTGAATGTTTACTTTTATGTTTTTTCTTTCAGACTATGAGACAAAGAAATTATTTCTGAAAAAGGAGATCTATGAACTGGAATCATCCTGATGGGAGATAATGGAAAGATTTTCAAAACGCAACATTGAGTGTTCAAGTTTCAGAGATGATTGGCAATGTCAAAGCCAGTTTGAGAAAAAACAGGGATCTCCGGAAGGATGTTTTAGTCAAGCGATATATACACCTGAAGACATGTCCTCTCTAAGCCGTGATCCATCTTTATTTGCACATCAAAGATTTCCAAGTGAAGAGCAATCCTGTAAGAAATGTGAGAAATCCCTTATCAATGACTTGCAAGTTCCTGGACATCAGAGAATTCGTATTGGCAAGAAATTCTATGAATGCAAGGAATATAAAAGTGCCCTTAGTAGGGACTTTTACTTTACCCAACATCAGAGAGTTCATAGTGATGAAAAACCCCTTGAATGTAAAGAATGTGGCAAGGATTTTAGTTTTGTATCAGTCCTTATTCGACACCAACAAATTCATAGTGGTGAAAAACCATATGAGTGTAAAGAATGTGGCAAGACCTTTGGTAGCGGTGCAAACCTTACTTATCATCAGAGAATTCATACTGGCGAGAAGCCTTATGAATGTAAGGAATGCGGGAAGGCTTTTGGAAGTGGCTCAAACCTGACTCACCATCAGAGAATTCATACTGGTGAGAAACCCTATGAATGTAAGGCCTGTGGGAAAGCCTTTAGTTTTGCATCAGGCCTCATTCGACATCAGATAATTCACAGTGGAGAAAAGCCTTATGAATGTAAGGAGTGTGGGAAGGCCTTTAGTTTTGAGTCAGCCCTTACTAGGCATCACAGAATCCACACAGGTGAGAAACCTTATGCGTGTAAGGACTGTGGGAAGACCTTTGGCAGTTGTTCCAACCTCACTCAACATCTGAGGATTCACACTGGTGAGCGACCCTATAAATGTAAAATATGCGGAATGGCTTTTACTGGTGGCTCCGCCCTTACTCGGCATCAGAGAATTCATACTGGTGAGAAGCCATATATATGTAATGAATGTAGGAAGGCCTTTAGTTTTGGGTCCGCTCTCACTAGGCATCAAAGAATTCACACTGGTGAGAAACCGTATGTATGTAAGGAATGCGGGAAGGCTTTTACTAGTGGTTCAGACCTCACTCAGCATCAGAGGATTCACACTGGTGAGAAACCCTATGAGTGTAAGAAATGTGAGAAAGCCTTTAGAAGTGGTTCAAAACTTATTCAGCATCAGAGAATGCACACTGGTGAGAAACCTTATGACTGTACAGAATGTGGGAGGGCCTTCAGCAGTAACTCAGACCTCACTCAGCACCAGAGAATTCACAGTGGAGAAAAACCCTATGAATGTAAGGAATGTGGGAAGGCTTTTGGCAGTGGCTCGAAACTTATTCAACATCAAATCATTCATACTGATGAAAAACCCTATGAATGCAAGGAATGTGGGAAGTCTTTTAATAGTGGCGCAGCACTTAATCGACACCAGCGAATACACACTGGTGAGAAACCCTACAGATGTAAGGAGTGTGGGAAGGCCTTTAGCAATGGCTCAAACCTCACTCAACACCAGAGAATTCATACAGGGGAGAAACCTTATGGATGTAAGGAATGTGGTAAATGTTTTGGAAGGAGTTCAGATTTTAAGCAACATATGAAAAGTCATTCTGGAGATAAACTTTGTAAACTGGAAACTCTTATGAATTGCATTTAGGTGGTTAAGGAGGGAATTTCAACACTGGTGTGAGAGTCCCTGGAAATATAAAGGACAAAATCCTCACTTATGCTCTACAGGGTAGTCAACCTGAGGGAATCCATACAGGAAAAAGCAAACACCTACTCTGAATGAAATAAGTATGTGAAGACTTTAATCTACATTTTGTCTTCATTAATTTCAGAAAATTGATACTTGTGAATAATGAACAAAATATTGTATTTTAGCATTATTTTAAACATTGAAAATTATTTGGGGGGCTAGTTACTACTTTTATTATTTAAAAATATTCTTAAATGTTTGCACCTTACACTAATACATCTGAAAATTATTTTGTTATTTATGGAAACTCTGAATGCACCTTTTTTCCCCTCTCCAGATTATCATCCTAACACCATTTACTCAATAATCTTACCCCTTTTTTTGTTGTGTTTCATTGCCTGTTTGATGATAGATTATATTTTTGTTGATATAAACTTACCTATTAGGTCAAACTTTGTCTTTTAAATCTCTGTTTCAGAGGTTGTATCTGTCTCATCATAGTTACATTAGTGTTCCGTCTGTAATACCTGATAGATCTGTACTTTTTGTTTTAGAAGATTATTATTTCCCTTCCATAAATTTCTTTTGCAAAATAATTTCACTCCATAAAAATGTAAAGAAGAAAAATAACAACAAAAAATGTAGCTCTCTGTAATCTTTCCAACTGTAAAACTTTAGTGCAAACTCTAAGACTGTATCTGTTGTTTTCATAAAGTGTGATTGTGTACATTACAGCTAGCATTTAATACTGTTTGTTAAATACATTGTTACTATTTTATTAACTTTTTCATGTTCACCTGTCCTTACCAACTGTTATTTTGTTAAATATTGAAACTTTTCCATTATAAACTGTTACTTTGATAACCCCTTTTGAGTGTGTTTGGATTCTTTGTTTATTGTTTTGATCGGTGATAATGTGTGTTTGTCTTTTTCTTGAAAAGATTTATACATTAGATAAAGTTGCACCCACTTTTGACCATCACCCCTAATTTCAGTTCCATTCCCAATGTTCACAAACTCACTTATTGTTTCAGATCATTTTACATTCATTTATAAGGAGGCTTCCAAAAGTTTGTGAAGAAAGTTACTATCTTTTAAAGCAATCTTCTAAACTTTTTGAAGCCCCCTCATATAAGTAACTGTGGAAATCCATAATTATTTTTTGTGGTTTATATACATGTTTAACCATGATCCACATCTTACTCAACACGAAACATACCATAATGGAAAAAGACATTAATGTAAATTAGAATAAGAAATACTTTATTGACACATTCATTCCTCATTGAACAAGGGATAATTGATCCTACAGATAAAAATATGAGATTTTAAAGTGTGAGAAGACAGATGCTGCTTCATAAAATTTACACCAAGGTAAAAATAAAAAGCCTTTCCAAACAATATATAAACTCTGTATATTAATTCTATACCTACATACATAAAATCTTGTCTAAAAATAAAACTTTATTCCTTTTGAAATAAATATCAGCGTATACACTACATAGCAAAACATGAGAGGACCTGCCAAATCCACACAGGAGAATTTATAGCTCTAAATTCATGTATATGTTATAAGATTATGAATAATGCTAGACTATAAAATAGATTATAAACAAAGAAACTAAGCATGCAACCCAAAAATCGAGAAAAGGAATAACAAAAACTCCATTGTTGTTGTTGTTGTTAGGTGCCATCAAGTTGGTACCAACTCATAACAACCTTATGCACAACAGAATAAAACACTGGTTGGTCCTGGGCAAACCTCACAATTGTTGCTACATTTGATCCCATTGATGCTGCCACTGTGCCAATCCATCTCGCTGAGGTCTTCCTCTTTTTCTCCAACCCTCCACCTTACCATACATGATATCCTTCTCCAGTGACTGGTCTCTGCTGGCAATATGTTCAAAGTATGAGAGATGAAGTCTGGCCATCCTGTCTTCCAAGGAGCACTTTGGCTGCACTTCTTCCAACACAGATCTATTTGTTCTTTTGGCAGTCCGTGGTACTTTCAATATTCTCCTCCAATACCATAACTCAAATGCATCAATTTTTATGTGGTCTTCCTTATTCACTGTCCATCTTTTGCAAGCATATGAATATATGCATATGCATGCTTATGAATAATATGCATGTGATAATGAAAAATAAAATATTCAAAATGGGAAAAAGCTAATTTAATAACTAAAACCTACTTCTTTAAAGAAAACAAAAATATGGTTAGTATAGCAATTCTGGTAAAGGAAAAAAAAAAAAAAAGATAAATGAACAATGGTTGTTGTTAAGTGCCATCAGATCAGTTGCAACTCATAGCAACCTCCTGTGTAGGGTTTCTGAAGAACAGCTGGTTAGTTTGAACTGCCGACCTTGAGGTTCAAACTAACCTTGAGGTCCAGTGCTTATCCTATGGCACCATACCAGGACTCCTAATATGAATGAGCAAAGGGCACTGGTTTTGGAGATTTTACAGGTTATATAGTACTATTCCATATAGTTTTTTAATCATTAATTTGAAAATTAAAATATAGGTTTTGGGGGCAAGGGATATAAAACACAGATCATGATTGTATGCATGTTATTGTTAAGTGCCATTGGTTGCTTCTGACTCATAGTGACCCTGTACAGGGTTTGTGAGGAGTGGCTGGTGGGCTTGAACCACCAACCTTGTGGTTAGTAGTCTAGTGCTTATTGTAGAGCACCACACCAGGACTCCAAACTGATGCATAAAGGCATAGAAAATGCTTATTACATAAACAATATAAAGCAAAAATGTCTATATTCAGGTAGGCTGGAAAATTTTATTCCCCTAAATTATGACAGGCTGCTCACCTGCTCCTACCCACCGTCAGATTCCATGAGGGAGAAAATTCTGACTTTCTTTTTTTTTTCTTAAATGTTTTATTGTGAATTATGTGATCTTTTACATGGGAGAACATTGGTTTTACATTCATTTTAACGTATATCGTCTCATTGCCATGGTTACAATCCCCGCTATGCAATCCTTCCCCAATACCACCCAAGTCTTCAGCACACAGTCGCTCTCCCTCTCTGGATCTAAGTCTCCAGTTGCTCCATCGCTCCACATCATCATCTCTGGCTCCATTTCAGGCATTACTGCTTCTCTGGGTCGGGTCCAACTCTCTGCTCTTCTCCCTTGATGGTCCTAGGGACCTCTCCGCTCCTAGACTGAAAAGTTAATCACTCCCCTCCTTGCAATAAAACGTCTACCTTTACATTTCCAACCCTCACAATCAATCCGGATAACAATTATTCACTACTGTATCACAAGAGACCCCTCTGCATTTCATTGCATCAGCCCCGTCTAGTCAGATTGAATACTACTCACTGGAGATTCTACCTTCCTCCAGGCCCTCTGGATCTAGGTTCCCTCTTGAAAGCTTGTAAGCCAGTCACTTCTTGCCTTTGTAGCCCCCCACCCCCATTTTGGGTAGCCAATGTCCAAGTTGCCCATCCCTGTCTACTCTGTGTGTGGAGGGGGTGGGGATGATTCTTGCTGTAAGGACTTGTTCCTTCTTTTGAGCTACTGCTTCCATAGGTGTAGGTCAAGTTCATCAAATTGTATGAGAATACTTTTTTTTTTTTTTCCTCTTCTTTTTACTTCTGGTTGAGCTCTGATCATCCAGTCACTGAAGCCAGGATAAGTGGGTATTATCTGCAAGTGTGGGTGTTCTTATGCATATGCCCTCTCTTCTTAACAGCTGGATGCTTCACTCTCCACTCTAGTCCTCTGTGGCTATGTCACTGACTCTGGGCCCAAGAGTCCCCAGGTCTTGCCACACTGCTGGCCAATCAGGTCTTCACCCGGGTTCACAGAAGTCTATTGAACGTTGTAGGGCTTAGCTCATGGCTTCATTGCTGTTTTTCCCTCACTTTCCCTTATCAGTGTTGAGCGTGGTCACCAGTCAGAGCGTGTATTCCCATTGAGTCTTAGTCTTGGAAGGGGGTTTGCACTGAGGGGACCTGACCACTTGCCTTGATGTTTCCTGGGCAAGCATGTTGCTAGTTCTCATAGTAACAGTCGGTCTTCCTATGTTGTTTTATATTTTTCCTGTAGGTCTTTCTTTCAAGAAGTATCTTCTGTTCTTCTAGCCACTCCAGGTTGGTCTGCTTGTCCTTTCCAGTGGGAATTTCCCATCTCTGGAGATCTGGATGTGGTTCAGGCTTCCACCTATAGTCTTATGTATTGCAGAGGCTCCACAGGAAGCCTCAAAATTCTGACTTTCAATCACATTTTTCCTTAGGAAACAGGGACAAAAGATGAAAGCAATCAGCACTAATTTATTTTATAACTCAAAATAACTAGATATTACCTAAACTTCACAAAAGAAAGCATGCAATTGGAATGATAAAAAACAGGCTGAAGTACTTATTTCTTCAGATTTAAAATGCCACATACTACAGTATGTGCACCAGTTTTGATATACGAAAAATTTTAAGGTACTTCAAATTAGTCTATAATACATAATTGATTACAAATCATATGTGATTTTCAGATATTTATTTTATAATTGATAAATAGTACTTTTATGTTTCAAAGAAATTGTTATTTAGATTCGCAGATTGATTGCTACAGGATAATGTAATTGGCTTTCAATTTTCAGCCTTTATATCTCCATTCCACCACTTGTCTGTCAGTTTGCCCTACTGTGGTGGTTTGAGTGTTACTGTGAAGCTAGAAGGTATGCCACCAGTATTTTAAATACCAGCAGGGCCAAGTGTAGCAACAATTGGGAGGTTGGCCCAGGACAGATCAGTGTTTGTTCTGCTGTGCATAGAGTCACTATGAGAGGCTACCAACTCAAAGGCACCTAACAACAACAACAACAACATATAGAATAACCGCTCAGAATAAACCTTATGTTCAAATTTCCTTGAGTTTTGATTGTTTTCAACACAGTTAATATTTGGTTTTGTGGATGAGAAAACAAAGTCAAAGT